AGAGAAGGAAAGAGAGGTATGGGGTTAAAAACAGTCCATTATGGGGCTGAGGCTGTAGCTCAGTGGTAAAGCACTTGCTTTGCATGTGTGAGGCACTGGGTTCGATCCTCAGCACCACATAAAAATAGTAAAGATAATATGTGTTTATCTATAACTAAAAAAATATTTTTAAAAAACACTCCATAAGATGCTACACTCATTCTCATAGTCTCCACACTTCCATCCCATCTCCTTTGTACACAGAAAACTGGAGAACATGATAAATCATGTACCATAGCTTCTGGAGTAGGGCTTTTGGGACATTCCATAATTCCAAATTTGATGTGTTTCCTTTTGTGCTCTTTCTTAGAAACTGCCATATTAGTAGCCAGTCAGTCAATAAGGCATTTGGACAAATCATCCTTGCCATATAGTATAAGAGTTTAAAAATAGTCAAATGGTTCAGCATAGCCCCTACCTTTTAATAATGTATGTGTTTCCAAAATTAGTTTTACTCAGAATAACTGTAGTCCAATCTAATAAGATCAAGGCATAAAGAAGAAACTAGTCCAGTTATAGACAGCAAACAAACACTATTCAAACAGGGATGCACTGTTTTCAGATTGGAGAAATGGGGAATAAATCTGTTCAAGTATAGGAGAATGATAATCCAGTATAGCAAATAACAATGAAAGATGCTAACCAGACCTTGCCAGAGCATGAATTTAAATTGCTTTTCAGATCTTGGAGATGATCTGACTTGATCTCCAGTCCTTTCATTGGTTCCCCTTAAAAACAAGAATATGATTTGCCTCAGTAGGAGTCCCATTGGGGTCACAGAGCAAAGCCCCAAACTACGTGGAACAGTACAGGACTGACCAGATCCATATCAAGATGGATATCCTGTAACCCTCACCAGTTGATCTTGAGTAAGGGTGGAAGGATTGAAAGCGAGTGCACTGAGGTTACATATTTCCACAAAGGCATTCAAAATGTTTCACTGCGTCTCTACATAGAAAAGGAATCGAGCACATGTACCACATAAGAAGAAAATAGACAACTTAAGAGAGGATAAGAAAAGAGGTGCCAATTTAAACACAGGAATAATTTCTGACCCAAAATTCCACTCCTGGCTAAAGAGTCCTGCAAAAAGAAAGGTGTGGAAAACATATATACAAAAAAGTTCACAGCAGCTTAAGTACCTGTTGCACATACTACTTGATGCATAACAGGTGCTCAAAAAGTATGTGAAACTGAAAACATCTTTACATACCACATGTGACTCCACAGACCACATGGAGCATGAGAGACATATTTATTCATCCATCAGTTCAGATTCCTTGGTTCCTCACTTCAATAACATTTATGCCAAGGCCCTAATGTCCCAGCTCACCTTGCTTTCTGCATACATCTCAGGACCCTCAAACCCAGGCCAAACCCAAATTTTAGGTGAGTAATACAACATAATTGGAGAAAAATCACAAAACAGGGACTATTGGCTTAACTCTAAATTCATAATGACCTACCCCCAAATTGCCTGGGAATCCCTTAGGTTTCCTCTCTCTCTCTGATGGCTCACAGGACTATTTTAACCTCCTATAGGTCTGCTGACTTATTATGCTTTCCTTCACACCTCACTTTCACTAGACACTGTTGCTTTATACTTTACAGATACATCTAAAGTCATCAAGTTGAACTCCCTCATGCTCTTGACACCAAGATACAAAACTTCGTCTACAGAAGCACACCCTGTCCATCTTCTCCCTTGAAGGGCCAGACATGCGGTGCCTCTCCTATCAATGGCTATTCCCCCTACCTCTATTAGGAATGGCTTTCCTGGGCCCTTCTGATCATATAAACAACATCAGTTTCCCTTCCTCTTCTGTGTATTCAAATCTACCTGCAGCCTGTCCACTGCTCAAACTTTTCCCATTGAGACAACAGTACAAATAAATCACTTCACTCACTCTTCCCTTCATTCATGCACCATCTCTCTCCTACTCTTCATAGTCAAAATGCTCAAAGCAGTTGTCCATACTTCTGTTTACACATGTTCACCACCCATTTATATTTCATTCCACCTACAACACTCCCTCTAATATCTGCCTTCTGGCTGTCAATCCACAAAAGAGGCTCTCTCTAAAGTGACCACTGACCTCCACATTGCTTAACACAACAAGCGTGTGTCACCGTTCATCTTGCTTAGCTTCCCAACAGCATTTGAGGCTCTCAAGCACTTCTTTCATGTTCAAGCAAAACTCTTTCATGCAGCAGCCTGCATACTCCTGGGCCCGGTCCCTTTCTGAAACTACAAACATGATGACATGCCACTTTGCTTTTTACTGCCCCAATTCCAGACACCTTAGCCTTCCTTCCATCCCTCATGCTTAGCAAGCGCCTTCACATATGCTGTTCCCTGTGTCATTCCTTCTTTCATCCATAGTTCACTTCAACTCATGGACCTTATAACAGAAGGGCCAGATACTAAGGATCCTGATGAGGCCAAAGCTTGTAATATTGTCAAGATTGCACATTTGCTTTTCTTTACTACATCTTTAATGGATGACCGATTCTCCCACTACCATAATCCCCATAGGGCAGGGACAAGTCTGATTTTAGGGTCAATGCATCTCCACCACCCAGCATGGCACCCACTCTAAGCATCTTAGGATGAGAAACCCTATACACTGGGTTAGGGGAAAGGGTATAGAGTGGATTCTGCTGTCAGTCTGCCTGGATTCAGATCTGACCTCTATCACTTGGTGGCTTTAGGTCCTGAAAGGGTCACTTCATTTCCTTGCATCTCAGTTTTCTTACCCATCCAATGAAAATAAGAGTACCTATACCACTTTCCTTAAAAAGTTGTTGTTAAGGGCTATATGAGCTGATAGCAGTCAAGTGCTTACAAGGCTCCCTGCTAAAAAGTAAATTAAGTTCGCAGTCAATTCTGGGTGTTATTAACAATTATAATTCACCAAGTAAATAATACAATGATATGTTGGTGGACTGTCCTGTAATAGAATACCTGAAAATTCTTTTAGCACATTTTTTTGGGGGGGTTTCTAGTTGGAGGCCTCTTAATGACACCTGTGGGGGAGTAATTTGCACATCACTCTGGGAAGCTGACACTGAAATTTGAAAATAACTGACTTATTAATTCAAGTCTCTTTACTGTTTCTATATCCACAGAGGCCCTGTGAGTATTTCTAAACTTTAGTTTCAAAAGTATATATGACACATTGTCACTTTGGTAGTTGTAAAGAATTTAAACTTTACATTAGAATTTGAATTCTTGTGCTATGAAAGACTTTCTGTATTTAGTAGCATTCCTTCTTTTCCATGACTAGAAAACAAGCTGCCCAGATTCCAAGGACTACAACAATGAGGGGCAGATCCAACCCAGACCCTCAGTCTCCTTAGCTCCACAATGCTGGATTAAGTGGTTCAAGTTCTCTAAATTGGTGCCATACAAAACTTCAATGTCTTCCTGCATACATTACAGATAAAGAACCTCAGGCAAGCCTATTGTAAACAATTTCTATTTTAGGATACTCTACCTTTACATTTAGAAAAGATCAGACTTCAAGTCTTTAGAAATGATATATTATCGTTACTATGCAGACAGAGGCCCATCATCAGAGAAAGCAAGCACAGTTCTTGGGTAACAAAATTCAAAATGAACATGCAGGTGTTCCACTTACTGCTTTATCGCCAAGAGCTCTTCTGATACTAAGTCTCACTTTAAAGGCGTTTTCTGCATCTGCCAGAAAAGAAAAAGAAACAGCAGTATATGATAATAAAATCTGCCCAAACATAGCCCAATTAATCCTAATATTTAATGAACTAAAAGCAACAGAAAACAGAACTACAAGGAAACTGTCCCTAAACACCCCTGAAAGTTGGATGGCAAGGACCTTAGGTGGTTTACATTTTCTTTCAAACTCATAAAACAGTCACAGGCTAAACTTAAAAGCCACAATATGCCTGCAGATTTAGAAAAATAAAGATTTCTTTCAGTCAATGACTTGTTAAGCTATTGTTAAGTTTCAAGGCTACATACCTGGTTGACAGAGTTCAGCATGAATAACAGTCACTAGAAAAAAGAGGAGCCACAACATTCTTCTGGAGTGGAAAACACAAGGCAAACTGAGAAAAAAAAAATCCACCCTCCACTTAAAGCTGCCTTAGCCATTCTGTGACCGGATTAGAATATCAGAGAAATCAGTGAGCCACCATCTAAAAGGTTTAATAATTAACACCCATACACTTGGGTTAATACTGCAATAGAAGTGGCCCATCTCCTGTCAGTTATTTACAAAAATCTGTTTGAAAAACAGATTAGTTGTTTTTCCCAAACTCTACCTCAGAAGAATGTTTCCTCTGCTGACAGAATGGGGATCCGCCCCCCCTCCCACCCCTTCTGCAGCAGCCTGGTTAAGTGCACAGTGGAAGAAAGGGAGTCCTCAATGGAGGTTTTCCTTGCCATGAACTTTCCACCTTTTCAAGGCTAAACTACCTGGTTCAGAGATAGGCTCTTTGAATTTGGGAAGCAAATATCACTCCTTTCTATCTCTGGGGAACAAAGGATGCACTTCCCTGAGTGTCCTCTTCTGACTCTTACCTTGGCAGGTAAACATCCCAGGACAGCTTCCACTTCAAACAAAGGGGATGGTTTTGTTTAGCCCTAGGGTTTGGCCATTATTGAAAATCCAAGTTAGTGATATGGAGAGGTGCTGCCCAATGGACCATTCTGCTTCTTTGTTTTGTTTTTGTGACACTGGAGATGGAACCCAGGCTTTCCACATGCTAGCTAAGCGCTCTACCACTGAGCTGCATCCTAGCCCTAAATGAAATACCATTTGATGATGGAAATGCGCTGTGCTTGTGCTACCCAGTATGTAGCCCCTGGACATAGGTGGCTGTAGAGCAGCTGAAATGGGGCTGGTGCTGCTGAGAAACTGAACTTTTTGTTTAGTAGCATTTAATATAGTTTAGCCACAGTAGCTAATGACTGCATTGGTCACAGCTACACAACTGTAACCTAGAGCTACCTACCATGAACTAGGCTCACTGGATTATTCTGCTAAGCCTCAAAGCAACACCTCAGTTATTATAATCACCTGACCTGTGAGAGGACCAAGGATCTGGTGTCCAAATTGGCAGCAATGCCTTGAGTGGAACAGGTTTACTGCCTAGGCTGACTACAATGGAACCCAGGTCCACCACACAGAGTGTCTTGTCCCCATAAATCCAAATAGAAATTGAGACAAAACCTCAATGGAATTTTACTGAACCATGAAGAATGAAATTATAGCATTCGCTGGTAAACTGATAGAACTAGAGAACATCACGCTGAGTGAAATAAGCCAGACTTAGAAAGCAAGGGTCAAATGTTTTGTCTCATATGCAGAAGGTAGACCAAAATAAGATAAGGGGGGGGGGAGTGAGGGAAATTCTATGAAAACAGAAGGGAGATCAGTGGAGCAAAGAGGACTGAGTGGGAAGCAAAAGGGATGGGAAAGGAACTGACCAAACTATGCTATATACATATAGAAAGTTAATTTCACCTTTATGTATATCTATAACACACTAATTAAAAACTTTTGAAAATTCCTTAGGCATCTTATTGACACCAACAGAAGTCCCCAGGCCCATGTCAGAGCTTTCCTCTCCCAAGTTGTCTCTTCCTGAATTCAGTCCCCAGATTCCACCTCTTTCCTCAAAAATCATGAATGGAAAGTTTAGATTGGGTACCCTTATGTTAAAGAGGAAATTGAGATTTTAAAAGCAACAATGAGAAGATCAAAAATGGCACTTCTGCAGCATTTTAGAGACACATTGTTTCCCTTTCCTAGGAGGGGTGAAATTTTATTGGAGATGACTCCTTTCTGTTAGTGTAATTCACCTGAAGGAGCTCTTTCTCACCCCCTTTGCTTTGGCTGCAAGGACAGAGTCAGAAAAGCTGTACCACAGGGAGGGGCTGCCCAGAGTTGGCCCAGCCAGTGTGGCAATTTCACTGTGACCTGTAGTGGAAATTTCCTAGAAGAGCTCACTTAACTATTCCCGGGGGGGAAAAAAAGGCAGGATAAATGAAGTTATCTGGGGTAGGAAAAGTCAATACACATAGAGTTAGAGATTATAAGAAAGTATTTTATTTGTAGAGTGCTTGCCTACCATGGGTGGGGTGAGGTCTTTATTTCCATCCCAATCCTGGAAAAAAGGAAAAACTAAACCAAGACATATCATGTAATAAAGGTATTTTTTATTTCTAATTATCAAAAATTATTTTAATCAGTTATTTATATTCCATTTATCAACTAGCTTTTTATTATCTATAATTATTATCATAGTGTTTTTCCCATTTGGTGCATTATATTGATAAACTTCTTTATTCAACACTTAAATTGGATTTTAAAATTTATTTTTAGCATGCTGTTGGGATTGTTTGCTGGATTTTCCCTTAAGATTTTAAAATACATATTTAGTTAGACGAATATCATGTGGGTTCAAGTGCTGATTGTTAAGTGTTCCCCTTTCCAGGTCCTCACACTATCACCTTGAAAATGATGTAGAAAGATTTCTAAAACTGTCCATGTTTAGAAATATTTACAATGCATAAAAATGAAGAATTTGGACCATGCATATTATAGAGGAAGTCTTCTTAGAAATTTTTAATTTCTTACATGATCATTTATTTCAGGAATTTTGGGTTTGGTTTGGTTTTCTTCCTGGAGGTGCTAGGGATTAAACCCAAGGCCTCATGCTTGCTAGGCAAACACTCTACCACTGAGCTACATTCCCTAGCCCTGAGTATTTACAATTTCTAAGAAATTATTCATTTTGTTAAGGTATTACAGTATTCTCATGGACTTCCTGAAATATTTCCCATGAAATACCTACATTTGTTGCTATGGTCAATTTATGTTTTCTAGTGAGCAAAAATGACCTGATTTTCATTAAAAGCCTCATCATGAAAAATGTTTTGTGGACTGCATAAAAGATGTGCACACAAAACCCTTATTACTGAAATCAGAGATTCTAGAAATGCTGTTGTTTGCAGACACTTACCCATCCTGTGCCCACAAAGATCTTTTTAATCTATTATAAGACTTTGCCCTTCTTTTTTTTTTAATACTTATTTATTTATTTTTCGGTGGACACAACATCTTTGTTTGTATGTGGTGCTGAGGATCGAACCCGGGCCACACGCATGCCAGGCGAGCGCGCTACCGCTTGAGCCACATCCCCAGCCCCCGACTTTGTCCTTCTGAGTACAGACTCAGCTACAAAACTCCCCAACTCACTTATTCAGCCAGCCAATATGAATGGACAAGACTTGATATGTGAGCAGAACCTGATTTGCCATCCAAGGGAAAGATGAGCTAAATATTACCCTGAATTAAACCAGAATATTGAGGATCTGAGTATTTAGTTAAACTGGAAAGTTTGCATGTTCATAAAATTGATTTAATGTACTATATTTTGTGATTGTGACAACAGTTTACATATAGTAACTCCATATAATACATATTTCTCACTTAACTAACAGCATGATCATAGTGAGGAATTGAAATGTCCCTCAGGACTAAAAAGCTTAAGAAAAACTGTTTCTCAAAAACAAAATCCCAATTGGTTTTTATAAACAATGTAAAACCTTCAAGTAATTGTTATCTGCTCTCTTCCTTTACATATATATATATATTTTTTTAGTTACACATGGACACAATATCTTTGTTTTATTTATCTTTATGTGGTTCTGAGGATCAAACCCAGTGCCTCACACATGCAAGGCAATCACTCTATCACTGAGCTACAAACCCAGCCCATTATTTGCTCTTTTCTACGGCTATTTGGAAGCTTATAGTCAAACCTATTGCCCACCTTCAACTACTCTTCCGGATCCAGCTTTATTTATTCTTCCTCAATGAATTTCCCCTATGATTCTTTCAACTATTTCTTTTATATACTGTTGTTTATATTTGGTAAGCTGCTTCAAATCATTTGTAGTGAAAGTAAATATAACTAATACTATAAAAATGAAGGCAGGCCTGGCACAGTAGCACAGCCCTTTAATCCCAGCCAGCAGGGAGGCTGAGGCAGGTGGATGGTGAGTTCAAAGCCAGCCTCAGCAAAACTGAGGTACTAAGCAGCTCAGTGAGATCCTGTCTTTAAATAAAATAAAAAACTGGGCTGAGGATGTGACTCAATGCTGGAACTAAAAAAAAGAAAAAAAAAATCAAGGCACTAACAGGTATACTTGGTCCCATTTCATGTGAGTTTATTTTTTCAGGCAATAAATGATTGGCATTTGAAACATTTTCTATAAATGGGAGTTCTCAGGGTCAAGGTATACATAAGAAAAACATTTTGTTGAAAACTGCTGTTTACTCTGTGCTACTTTTAGCTCAGCATTGTTAATCCCCTCCCTACTATCTTCACAGCAGAAGTGGAAGGAAGGTGAACAGAGAAAGGAACTCATACTTCATATCCGATCATAAAATGTTGACTGCTGGATGTCAAAATAGGAAACAAGATCTTGACTGCTGCCATATGTTGAATTATATGTAGCCAATCTTACTACCACCGAGGGAAAAACTACAGCCCTCTACACAAGTTAAAAAGGGCATATTTTCAGTGAGGATTTATTGAGAAGTTGTGTAAGGGGTTGTCATAAGTACTTTGAAAGTGGTTTCCTTTGTTTTCTGCCCCCAAACACCGCTGCTAGTTCAATCAACAGACCAGTACTTACCAGATCCTTTACTACCAGTCAATCCCCTTACTACACCATGTTTAACTTTCTCCTTATTTCCTGCCCTATCCAAACCCAAGTTGGGGGAACTTTTGCCTGTAAGCTCCTTGGGATATATCTTATTTGTCTCTGGAATATAATACTGGATGAATCCTCTTGAATGAATGCATGAATGGTGAATAGAAAATGTCCTTCCTGCAGGAATGCTCCTTCGAAATTTCTGGGCAGAAAAAAAAAATATTAAAGCTGATAGTGACCTCCTCACTTTTTTCTTGTAGATCCCAGAATAGTAGACAGAGGAAATACAAGAGTAATCTCTGAGAGGACAGCAAGCAGAATTTTAAGTGTGGTGGTGTCTCAACAAGCCCTAAACACCACGAAGGAACAAGGAGCAGAGGGAGTGTGTGCTCATGCCACACACACACACACACACACACACACACACACACACACACCCATCTGCCTAGTATTTCAAGGGTGCTGAGGGGTGGAAAGGACACAGTTTCAGATGGCTCCCTAGGGGGGGCTAGAGGACATGAAACCTAGTTGGAAGGAACAGGGTTTTACCACTGGTTTAACAGTTCTGCTTCCTACCTGGTTTCTGTTCATTAAGAGGTGGTATTTAAAATGCCGAGAGAAACGTGAACAAAGTCGATTTTTAGAGGAAGATCAGAGAATCGTGGGCTCATTTCACGCTATAAATGCCACCGGTGTCCAACCCTGGGCAGGACAATTTTCTAAAGAGACCTGCCTTCCTTCTTGTAGCGGGACCTAGTCCTGGCGGGAGAGGTGTCACCACAACCGAACTGAAAGTGCGTGGCCTGGGAACACAGTGACAAGCGAGAATTAAGGCATGCAACTACGCACGCGCGGGATGGATGAGAGTGACTACTGTGAGTCCAAGATTGTGGCGAGTAGCCTGGGAAGACTGCTAGGATTGGCCAGGACGGAGGAGTGTAGCAAGAGGGAAGGGATACGACAGGAATCCGGGGCCGTAGCTTGGTCAACGACGAAGGTAGGGGCCTGGGCACTGAGGAGCACAGGCCCCAATGCCCAGCGGAAGAGCCGAAGCCCGGGCGAATCGCCGCGGCGAGACCTGAACGAGAATATGGCCTGTGGGGGCAAGGGAGGGGCTTCGGGTGGGCAAGATGGACGTGACGGGTGGTCAGGAGGATGTAAAAGGCCTTATGCTCAGTGACGTGGACTGGACGGAGCGTGGGGGCGTGGCCACGGATGGAGGTGGGCTATGGAGTAGCGCGAGGGAGGGTCGGGCACAGGGCCGGAAGGAGGGGCCTGAGTAGGGGCCTGAAGTAGGCGGGACGCACGTAGGTGCCCTGAGCTTGGGCAGAGTCCGGCCGGCCGTGGCCTTCCTGCTCTTCCACGTAATAATAAAAGTGGCCCCTACGGAAGACAGTGGCGTAGTCGCGGCGAGAGTCCGGTGTTTTTTTATAGATCGTACTCACCCGTATACACGTACTGGGCCAGGCAGCTGGGAGTGGAGACCACGGCCGGGGCGGGACTTCCGGCTTCGTTGATGTGGCCGGAAAGACAGGGGCGTTGCCTGGTGTAGCGAATGACGTTTCCTGGCGTGTGAGGCTGGCGAAGTCTGTGAGAGTAATCTAGATGGCCGCGCGCCAGAATTTTGATTGTCTAGAGGTAGGACAAGGTTTCCGGTCTTTCAGTGTCGTTTGACAGTATGCAGCGTTAGCCACAGGGGAGCGTAGTTTGACAGAGGGAGTACACCAGGTCTCCACACTCTTGATCACGCTCCACAAATGCACCCTGGAGCTGAAGAAGCTGTAGGTCCTGTCTGGCCGAGGTCCTAACAGGGCTTCTCTTAAGAAGGGCGGGAGAGTGGCAGCGGGGATAGCTCCCTTTCCGTGTTAGCTCAGTTTCTCCATTGTGAGGATCACAGACACTCTTTCAGGAAGCCGCTCATTTAAACATAGAGAAGATGTCCCAGAGACTGGCAGATAAAGAAATTGTAGTTCCAGAAACCGCGGCACACGAGTTGGGACTCTCTTGGATCTGCATTATTGAGTTTGTCCCCGACTGTGCCAGGGGCAAAGGACAGACTCACAGCTACCGCCAGTGTAGAGGATCACCAGCACAGTTGTATCTTGTAGATAAATCTGAGCTTTCTGCACTCTTCAGTTCCTCCTCCTGCCCTTTTTCTCTCGAGTGGTACCCCAGAGCTGGAGGAGAATAATCTCCAAAATACAAATATTCGTATCTGGGATTCTCCTTCAGCGTTAAGTGCTACTGTCTGAGGCTGCTGCTAACTGGTTAGTGTCAATATCAGTGTAATTACCCCCCATTTATTTTTGCTGGAAAAGCTTGAGAAATAGGTGAAGTTAATAAAGATGTGTAAACCTTACTTTGGATAGAATTTGTTTGGTGTCAGCCACTGAAAATCACAGTGTTATCTGGTTTTCCTACTTCCTTTACAGGAATTCTGCCCGATTCCACTCTGCTCTTTAAAATCTTGCTAGAGTTTGGAGGACAGTCAGAAATCTCTGTTGAGAAATGCAGCCTTATCCACCTCTCAGAGAAGTCATGTTGCAGCATGTATGGGAATTCACAGTGAACCAAGTACCTGGGCTGGAGTTCACCAAAAGGACAAAAGGAACAAGTGTACAGTTCTCTGTGCCAGTACACCCCTCTGTGTTCTCCCTGAAGTCAGGCAAAAGACTGCTATTGTTTACAGTTGAAATGAAGTAAGACTGAGATAATTGGAGTGAAAGTGAATATTAGGGAAATGATGGATAGAGGGAAGTGCATTCCATTTCATTAGCAGTGCCAGGACAGTTAGTTGCAACATACAAATCAAGTGTAAAGACTGTATTTTGAAACCTTTAGCAACTCTAGATTGGGATCTTGCCCTCAGCGAAGAAGTGGGTAGGAGGCAGAAGTTAAGCTTTCTTGAATAACAACAAAATCTCTTAAGTTAGGTTTGGAGGAATTGCAAAAGACTGGCTTCCTTCCAAAATCATTTTGATGACAAGGAATTGTTCAATATAATCATAATCATTTACCAGTACTTTTGCTGTCCTTTCCATAATTATAAATGGTTTAATCAGACAGTTCAATCTGTGTGGCACTTATTCAATACACAAGACTTAGAATATTTTTTTACACATTTCTAAATCTGCAAAACAGCTGGTAAGGAGTGTGTTAGAAAAATCCAAGGCATGCATAATCAGTGGTAGCAAAGGACATATGGCACAGAAAGGCTAGCTCTCATGAGGCCCATCCAGCCAAAATTGATCACTTTCAAATAGATCATTGGATATATAAGTAATTTATTATATTATTCCCACTATATTTATATACATTTGATGTTTTTCCTAATAAGGGGGTGGGGGTAATAGGCACAATTGGATTCAATATTCAGATCATTTGTGGCCTATTGCTTTTTATATCTGCTCAATGAATTCAGGTGATGAACACACTCAAAAACCCAGTTCTTTCTGGGCACAGTGGCACACACCTGTAATCCCAGCAATTTGGGAGGCCGAGGCAGGAGAGTTGCAAGTTCAAGCCAGCCTCAGCAACTATGGAGGGCCTTAGAGACCCTGCCTCAAAATTTTAAAAAGTGCTGGGGATATGGCTCAATGGTTAAACACCCCTGGGTCAATCTCCAGTACCAAAAAAAAAAATGTTCTTACCTGATTTAAGGTACTACCGTGATGGTGTATTGAAATTTTATTCCTAAGCCATACTTTTTTTTATTAGTGCATTGTAATTACACATAATAGTAGGATTCATAATACTATGTTTGTACATATACATAATAATTTGATCTATCACATTCCCCAGTGCCTTCCCATCCCCTCTCTTCCTCCCCAGATCCACTTGCTCTACTGATCTCCCTTCTATTATAGTTATTTTTTAGTGCAGTATAATTATGTATATAGAGAATTCATTGTGATTTGTTTTTGCATGGACAAGCCTGACTCAAGTTTTATATGGCTTAAACAAGGTAAGTTCTATCTTAGCCCTTTTGACATACTCATTGTAAAAACGGTATGTATTCAAATACACATGCAAAAGTCAACAAAAGTGATTTTAACTTTCTAAAACCTTTTGGGTTACAAATGCAGGCATACTTTTTGTGTCACTACTGGGTATGAGTTGAATTGTGCCCCCCACACACACAGAGTCATATTTAAGTGTTAAACCATGGTATCTTAGAATGCGACCTTAGAAGGAGATTGAGGTCATCAGGGTAGTCCCTAGTACAGTAAGACTGGTGTCCTAATTAAAGGGGAAATTTGGATACAGACACAGTGAGAAGGCCCAGTGAAGACTGGAGTTAACACTGCCACAAGTCAAGGAATTACCAAAGGTGAGGTGTAGTAGGATTCTCCAGACAAACAAAATCACTCGGGAGTGGAGATTTTTATTTTAAGGAATTTACTCACATGAGTGGGGGACTCAAGCAAATCTGAAATCTGCAGTGCAGGCCTATAGGCTGGAAACCCAGGGAAAAGTTGATGTTGCAGCTCAATTCCAAAGGCAATCTAGAGGTAGAATTTGCTCTTCATCAGGAATCTCAGTCTTGTCTCTAAAAGCTTTTGCTCGATTGGATGAGACCCATCCACATGAAGGGTAATCTGCTTTACTCAGAGTTTGATGATTTACATGTTAATGTCATCTGAAAAATGTCTTCTCAGTGAACTTTAGACTGGTATTTGATCAAATATCTGGGTCCCATGGCCTAGCCAGTTAACACATAAAATAAATCATCCAAACAGAAATGCCTGGACAGATCTTTCCCAGCCCTCAGAAGGAACCAACCTGGCTGATGACTGACTTGTGTGTCAGACTTCTAGCCTCCAGACTGCAAGACAATAAATTTCTGTTGTTTAAACCAACCAGTCTATAGCACCATATTACAAATTAATGCACTACTCTAAAGACCCCAGGTGTGGGGGGTTGGGCCTGGAGGTGAGGAGTCTCATGGGATTCACTATTTACCCTCTAGTCCCCTTTAACGCAATAGCCACACATTCCTGCCTCTCTGCTTCCCAGTATACATTAGCAAAATGATGCCTACACAAAGCACCATATTGTGCTTCATTTTACAAATGATTTTCTCTTCTTACACTTAGATGTAGCCTTCTTTTCTCTACCTAAGAGGGAACACGATCAAGTAGTACTGAGAAGAGCCAGTTTATAGCCAATTGATAGGGTTGTGTATTGAAAAGGAAGGTGAAATAATGTTTGTTTCCTTATTGAATATCACTGGGGACTGTGATGGGTTTTTTAAATATATGTTTATACTTTTGGGAAGGTTATGTGAAGAAATAAAGCTCAAATCTAAGTAAAATGTGTTAGTGACCCTCAACTTTTCTTTGTATTTTGCCACCCACTCCCTGCATGGCCATATTCCTTTAGTATAAGACAAAACCTGAGGAGGCATGAACACTGTTATGAACTATTTTGCTGTTTCCCTTCCTGTACAATGTG